TTTTGATATAATAATAATAACAACGTAATGATTTAAAACGTTTATTAATATACAAAAAAAAAAAAAAAATAAATAAAAGTATAATCACATAATAAAAGGCGTTTTAAAGACCGTATATATATAATACATTTAATAAATTGAAATGTTTCTTATTTGTGGGTGGGGGCGGGGAGGGGAAAGGTAAATAGTTTTTTTCTATTGCTAATTTTTCGTTTTTGTTATGTTTCATTATATTTCCGAATGAATTTATTAATTATTTTATTAATAATGCTATTAAAATATTTATGAATTTAAGGAGGTATCAATTGAATTTTATAAACTTGTTATAAATGTAACTGAACGAATTATTATATATATATTTTAAACTAAAAACTATATAAAATGTAATTATAATTAATTTTAAGAAAAAAAAAACCGGTCGCAAAGAGAGAGAGGGGGGAGTGAGAGAGAGAGAGAAAAGTTGACTGAAGGGTACTTACTTCGTTTTAGTAATACACACGACCTTATATTTCAAAACGGTCAAGGAATGCCTCAAAAAAAAAAAATTAAAACAGGAGAGGTTCTTCCCATTATTATTATTATTATTTATTATTATTATTACTTAAAAAACTTTTGTTAATATTTATAATCATTACTGTAATAATTTTTATTTTTTTATTTAAATATCTAAAAAATACTGATTAATTAAAAATCATATCGATCATTATTATTTTGCACATTTTTTATACTTTGTAAATATTTAACAAATTAATTAATGGATGTCGCTGGAATTTGAATATTTTTGTATGTTTAAAAAAATTATTGTTATTATTATTATTAATTTAGCTTAAAATCATTTTTAAAAAAAAAACGTTTGAAGGCTGAAATATCGAAATGTAATTAATTAAATTTTTGTTTTTTTTTTTTTTTTTTTATTCATTCTTTTGCGTTGATTATTACGTAATTATTATTAGTTGGTTACCTTTGAAGTGGAATTTTTTTTTAAATTTTCAAAAAAAAATGGAGACAAATTTTTAAAGTATTTGGTAGGACCGTCGTGAGAATCCCTAATTTTTTTTTTTTTTTCGTGAAAACAAAAATCCCAATCTGGTCCAATTAAAATAACCGAATTTATTCATAAATACTTGATTTAAAAAACCTCAAGATTTTTTTTTTTTTTTATTTTGCTGCAAGGAAATGTGTTTGAGTTATGTATATATATATTACGTGCCACATAATTTTTTTTTTTTTTACAGATGTTTAAAAAAATGTTTTAAATTTAAAAATAATTGAAAAATTTCGTTTTTTTTGGAGGGGGAGGGGTGGGGTGGAGGGTAGAATTAAGGGATGGAATTTGTTATCGTATTACGAATTTTTTTTTTTTAATAAGTTGAATAATTTATTTTTTTTTAACTGACAACTTTCTAGGTACTTTAATAATTTGATATGAGTAAACGCCCATATTTCACGGCCACTTGATTCGGTCAAACTATTTTGCCTACAGAATATATTTTGTAATAAAATTCACGAACTCTGATTTAACGCGTTATTAGTAGTAGTAGTTTGATTTGCAAGTTTTAAAAAAAAAATTTTTTTAAATGAAAATAAAGGCCAAAAAAAAATTTATTTAGAATGAGACAAATAGAGTTATAATTAATAATATTTTTTAGGTTTATTAATCGAACGATTTGAGTGAATTTGTGTTTTTTTGGTTAACTTGTGCTCAATATATTTTATGGAATAAATTTTTAATTTTATTAAAATAATAATATTTCAATTAATAAAATTTTTTTTAAATGAAATATTCTCAAATAGTGATTGATAATGGTACGTTTAAATTGATGTGAAATGAATTTGTACCTGATTTTTTTTTGTGGTTGTGTGAAAGTAATGCTATAATTAATTTTTATATAAAAGTGCAAATTATTATATATTTTATTGATGGAATAATGTTGGATTTATGGTATCAGATGATGATATTTTTCCCAAAATTGAAATTAATTATTTTTTTTCTTTTTTCAGGAAATGGTGAAAAACCTATTAAACAACCTACAGTAGTTAAAGCAAATAAAAATCGTCGCAAAATAAATATGAGGGTAAGTTTAAAATTTTTTTTTTTTATTATTATAATTATTCAACGACCTTGATGAGCAAAAGGAAAATTTTAATAAGGTACCTTTTCTTTTTTTTTTAAATAAATAAGGCTAGTGATTTTACCGATATGGATGATTGGCCGACTCTAGAACAGGCGATACACACGTCGGAAAAAAAAAAATCGGGAGTCATCACAAATGGGGAAACGAAACAAAATGGAAATTGTAAGGAAAAATCAGGGAATCACGATGACAGCGACGAAAGTCAGTCGTCTCAAATAAATAGTAGCCATAAAGATTCTGCTCAATCTAAAAAAGGTAATTATTAATTATTTAATTAATTGGTTAAAAAAAAAAAAAAAAATTTTTTTTTTAATACTCACTCGCACTCGTAATGAGTACATTGCTACCGATTATTATTATTATTACCAAGTTGGAAAACAAGTTGAAACAAGCTGGAAACGCACGCAGTCGATAGTCGCGTAAAAAATTTCATAATAATTTAAACGTGTTTTAATTTAAAATAATTCGTAATAATAAACCAACTCACATTCGATCGAGTAAGGTACATAAGGTACATGAGGTATTTTTTTTTTTTTTTTTTGAATTAAAGGAACCAAGAGTCGTATAAAATTTAAATTAATTATATAATTAAAAATTGTAAAAAAAAAAAAAAAAAAAGACGTCGACCACACAATCGTTTCCTTTATTTATTTAAATGTTTTCATACTGTTACAAGTTTTGATTTCGTTATAATAATAAACCTGTATATCGAGTTTTTTATCTTATGCAATTTTAAAATTAATTATTATCCAATATTTTAAATTTGCAACAAACAAATTCGTACTTTTTAATTTTAATTGTTCATTAAATTTTTTCCCTAAAAATTATACTCTGATGAATGTAATACGTTATTGATTCCACTGACATGATTTTAAAATTTGATTTGAATTATGTTTGTATATATATATATATTAATTTCCAGGCACAAAACATAAATGGCTTCCTTTGGATTTAGATTTAATGAGATCGAGAAGAGAGTCTCAAAATGAAAGGAGACGATATAATAATAATAATAATTTAAGAGAAAAACATTTGGACGGTCACGAGAGTTGTGATAATGAAAAATATGATAAGTCTCGTGATAAAGATTTTAAAGACAAAGAAAATTATAAAAAATCTTATCGGTTTTTTCGAGGAAGAGGAGGACGGCAACGCAACAATAAAAATTCATTTAAAAAATCTCCGTTGGATTATCCAGATTATCCAGTAGAATATACAGTAAGCCACCACTATTGATATCCATTTCATATTTTAAAATTATGACCTAGTATTGTTATTTTAATCATCATCACGTAATAAACACACAAACATAAAATGAATTTTTTTTCACGGTCACAACACAAAGTTAAAATTGTAAATAATATATATATATATATATATATTTTAATTTTTAATTAAATAAGTAAACTAATAAATACCAGGTAAAAGTCCATTTAGGCATAGAATAAAAAAAAAAATTGTGTTCGCTCATGGTCATTAAAAAATATAAACATTTTAAAGAATTGTTCTTTCAAAAAAAATTTTTTTTTTTTTTTTTTATTAAATGTATGTTTTTTTTGTAAATTAAACGTAAACAAATTATTAATTCGATTTATTAATTTTTATCAAAGAATTTTAATGTCATTAGTAATGAGAAACAAAAAAAAAAAAAAATTAAACTTGTTAAATGTTAATTAACAACGGGTATTTTATTACCCACTTTTTTTATGCTGTTGGTTTTTTTTTTTTTTTTTTAATGACTTTCAAATCGCGAAAAATATCATTAAATTGAAAAAATTACTTTGACTTATATTTTCTTTTTCTTTTTCCAGCCCTTAAAATTAAATGGAAATTTAGTCAGAACGCCATATGTGATACCCTATGTGCAGGTTGAACCCATACCTGTATACGTAGATTCTTCTTTTCAGTCAATGAGAGTAAACGAGCCTACATTAATCGACTACGTTAAAAAACAAATGTAATATTATTATTATTATTATTTATTTTTTTTCCTGTCAAATTTTGTTTCCTGTGAAAGTTATGTTTTTTGTTTGTGCTAAACACTTTTTTTTTTTTTTTTTTTTTTTTTTTATAGAGAATATTATTTTAGTAGTGAAAATTTGGAACGAGACTTTTTCTTTCGACGAAAAATGGATAGCGAAGGCTACA